ACTGTCGCGACGTGATATCCTTTTTATTGCAATTGTTTTTGCTCGGTGGACGCGATGCGAATGAACGACGGAAATTTCGAGCGAGAAGGATCGCGCACGGCTCTTCCTTCCTTCCCGAAGGATCTCCGCTTTCCGGCGAAAGGACGAATTTTTCGTCCGCCCTTTTAACCGGCGTCGAGTCTCCATCTCCCTTCGATGACGAGAACCGAAAAACACCGTTGACAAATCGCGAAATCTTGCAAATGCGGCACCGGCCGTTAATCCGCGGGCATGTTCACGGAGAACGCGAGATCTTCGAAAACAATCGCGGATCGAAGCGCGATTGGATGCTTCGTATGTTAAAGAATTTCGACGGGATGCAACTCGCTTCCCGGAAAGGTATTTAACATACGAAGCACCAGTTTGCGGGAGATCCTTTCCGCGCTTTCCTCGGATATACGGAATTTCCTCTGTAAAATGGTTTCACCACTACGAATGTTATCGGCGGCTAATGGAGCGCGGTGCGTGCCGCGGATCAAACTCTCCTTCCGGTAAACTTTCCGCGTCGCCCGATCGTAAACCGTCATTTTTCAACTTTTTCGCAACGAACACGCGGTCGCGATTGATTGACGGCCGCATCGAGATGTCTCGACGACGGCGATAAATCCGAACGACGAAGTATACAAACTGATATTCTCGGTTACTACACCCTGGGTTTCTTTTTCTCGCTTTCTCTTTTTTTCTTTTTTTTTTTATTTATTTAACCGCGTGTGAAGTTTAGCTGCTGGATTCGCTCGTGATTCGTTTTCTTTCAGTTTTTGTCCTCACGGCTTTGGTTTTCGTTTTAACTCTGATATTCACTGTTAACACATGCATTGTTCTTTTTTTGCAGTTACAATCGCACGCCTGTTCGGCGCGCCGCTTGAAATTTTTGCTTGTTCTGCGCCTCTCTCTTCCGCCGTCTCGAGAGGCCGTCTCTCTTGGATTTCTTTTTTTTTCTTTTTTTTTTATATTTCTTTCTACCGTGTTTTTTCGTGAGAACGCGCGGTTACGTTAGACAACGGAGGGTGATTACGTTAAACAATGCGATCCGAAGAGTCGCCACGGGCTTTTGTCCCAACGAACGCAGATTGCGGTGTAATAGAAAAGCGGAAAACGCGAGTGATGCTCGATCGATAGCAGCATCTCGTGTCCGCTGGGTTTTCTCTTACGGAGTCGAATGGGGGAAAAAAAAAAAAAAGAAAAATTACGGCGACTTCGGAATCGAATCAGCGATCGATTGCCTCGCTTATTTCATTTCACTATTCAGTTGTAAAAGTACTGCAAATATATACATATATATATATATATGTGTATGTATGTATGTATATATAAACGCGTCCGCCGTAACGTAACCGCGTGTTTGTCTCTCTCCACTTGGCACCACACTCACGCACACACTCTCTCTTTCTCTCCTCTTTCTTTTTTACTCTTTTTTTTTTATTATTCCCTTAAACCGCTAATCCTGACCAATCGGATGTTTCGTACCTTGAGGTATCAGAACTTCTCGATCTCTCAGATTTTCGTTTACACAAACAAAAGATTATTATGCAATTTTACGAAGACTCGACACACTCGGGTTTCGTGGCGTAGTAAACGCTACTTCACAAACGGGACGTGATAGAACAGTGAGACACAATTAAAGACGATCATCGGTAACGATATATACGGTAATATCTTAGGTGGAATCCTCCTGCCGATACCCAGACAGAGGATATGACTACCGCGTGTTAAGTGGTGGCAAGTTGGGACAAATTGTATTCGCGAGTAACGATTTTAAATATACATATCTGTCGACGCGCGAACAGCGTGCATCAAAAATCCACGCCCGTTACGTCTCTCACGAAAATATGCGTTTTTTATGTATTTTTATGTCTCGCGACACGCACCGTTATCTGAAATCGTTCTTCCTTCGCGAATACATTTTGTGCATCACTGGTCGACGAGCACAGAATTACACGACGACGGAAACAATAAACATGGGTAACGCTACACCCAAACGACACGAAGACGTGTGAAAAATTAGGATGTCTTTTTCTAATGGACTCTTCGTGATGTGATGATATCTTGCAGATATATTTGTGTCGCCTGGATATAGACGGAAATCAGAAATCAATGAAATTTCGCCAAATAATAAATATTTCAATTTTTCTTTTCATTTTTTAAAGATTTCATTTTTTTTTAAAGAAAGTAGACATATATATTTATTTTATTTATCCGTCGACGATACTACAAACTAAAATTTTAAAAATTAGTTTCATGCAAAATTATATAAAGTTGTTTTTCTCTCTCTCTCTCTCTCTCTCTCTCTCTCTCTCTCTTTCCTTCTCTCTCATTTTTGTTCGCGCTCTATTTCGTACTCTCGTGACAGTCTACGATACTTGTATTGTCAGTCGAGCCGATGTATGTGATACGCCCGGCTCTTGTTTCGAAAAGTCAAATCGAGTCGATTGCCGCATGCAAGCGGGTCAGTGATTTAATATAAAAAAAAAACGACTTGCCCGGTGCATGGTCGACCGAAGTTAATTTTAGAAATGACCGGACGATTTATTCACGCGCGAAAATCTTTGAGGTTTCACGGTGAGGAGCCGTCCTCTCTGCTTGTGGTTAGCTCGAAGTGCCTTTAGGCCCGATAACACGATTTATATGATGTACAAGTATACGCATTGTCGTCGTCGACAAAAAAAGAACGCGATCAAAATTCAGTGTACCTTCGAGCGCCGCTCACAGCACAGGAAAACTCACGACGTGATATCTCATGAGTTTTCGCGTCCAATTTCATGAGTAACCAATAATGCATAAAGTCAAAACAATAATCACTAATTAATAATACACCGCCGGAGACCCACCAGGGGCCAATATTAACAATTGTAAAAATATGGCCGAGATAAATGCTATTACAATAATTGTTTCTGTTTGTGATCGCCTGTAAAGTATAAGAAAATTAGAACCACGGCCTCATTGTCATCCTCGATTATCAGAATTGTCCTGCACTTACTCTACACTTATTAATGAATACAATCACCTTACAATCAACAGTACAATTTTAAAATACTCAAGGATAATGTTGTGACCACGGCGACTCCAATTCTTCTTACTGAAAGAGTGAAAGCAATACGGTAGCTCATCAATTTTTGAAATACAAGCCAAAAAGAAACGACTGATTCCGAGACAGGCAAATATTCGATTCATTTATCAGCAGTATCCACATATCAGTTTTCACTACTCCTTTTGATGGAAAAGTCGCCGGAAGTGAAGAAAGTCGCGGAAATGTAGCAATAAACTCAAATATCGTATATGAAACGATTTATAATGCGCCTTGCCGGAGACAAATTAGAAGTAATGTACGAAACAAGAAATACACAAAAACAAAAACAAAAACAAAAAAATATATATAGATATATCTATCTCTTGCCGCGCTCGAATTCATCGCTCTGTACTCCGTAATTGCTTTACCCTTCTGTCCGAATTCCCGAGAAGCATACGGCTATTCTCAACAAGTTCTTCCAGCGAAATAACTTAAGTCGAGCCTAGATATCAGGGATGAAACTATGTTATCTTTAAAAGAATTCGTCAAGCACAACTGTATGCTTCTCAATTTTCATACATATCTTAATTTTAATTTGCTTTCGTGGAGAGAGTGTGGAGTAGTGTTTGTTGATTTCTTTTTTTGTTATATTTTTTTGGATTTTTTTGCAATTGTTTTGTTGTCGATGTAGCAGCGTATAACGGGTGTTGGTGTTATATGTTAAAAAGGAGTGTCCTGCGGTAATAGCGCGTTATTCTGTCTCGGTTAGGCGGTGCTTTCGGTGGTGGTGTTCTGCACCGGCTGGCTCTCCTGCAAACATACACATTGACGAACATTATTCGTTGCGTGAAAGTTGCAAGAGCGATAACACGAAAATAGCAATAATGCAACGCGTAGTTAAAATATCTTTACTATAATCGTCTGTACATCTTTTTTAAAATATTGTGTAAGAGCTATGTGTGGAGAAAATGCAATTCCTTCTAGAAAACAAGAACAAAAGGAGGAAAGATGAGCAAGAAAATAAATCGGATGATCTGCTTCGTCGATCACATCCTAATGCCGGAAGTGTAAGTGAGTGAAAACTGCGGCAACCGAGACGAGCTTCTGCGAGATCAAAAAGAAGAAAAAAAAAAACAAAGCGACGTTACCTGTGGAGCAGGGGCAGCGGCAGGTGCATCCGAATCTTTAGGTGCATCAGACTTCTGCTCCGACTGAAAAGAGTACAAAGAGACACGTGCAAACAGTGTGTGCTAAGCGCTACCGCTCTGTATTTGTCGACGGATCGCGCATTCGCAGTCTCCTAATCAAAAGCTTTCTCTCGTTCGTTTCAAATTGTAAAATCCCACGTCTACTGCTTCGATACTTCACCATGTTGGAGTTTTTCAGGAGTCAAACTGATCAATTCTACATATAACAAATAAAAGTAAAGTAAATTGATAAAGTTATAAATTAATCATGTTTTTTCGCATTTTTTAAAAATAAAAGTATAAGAAATAGAATTGACCAACTTGACTTCTGGCAGACTCATATTATCATATTAACTTCTGATTACAACTCACGTCAAGATATAAGAAATGTTGAATCGAAAAGAAATGTTGAATCCTGATGAAAAAAGAAATATTTACAGATGCAATGTAAATGAAACTAATGATTCACAATATATTGAAACAATTCAAAATTTTTTTAAGAGTTTTTCTTTGGAATGCTGAGATTTTGTCTGGACATTCACTGTAATTTTCATTAAGTGTATATATACGTAAAAGCATATTCGCAAATTCGTTTGATACGTTGTGACGTCGTAAAGAATAGATAAGAATACGAATTATTTTCTAATTTGAGTAAGAAAGGGTAGAATCAATAATACCTTGGGGGATTTATCGCAGGACTTGGAAGGGATATCGGTAATCTGTGTTTGAAGAGACGTGACGGGAGAGGAAGCGGAATTGGAGGATTTGCGTTTTGTCTCCGCAGATGGTAAGCTCTCTACTGTGTTCGTCTGTTGGCTCGATGTCGCACGAGGTCGTCGTACTAATCGTCGTCTGTAACGTGGTTGTGGATTTCTCCGCGAAGTACCGAGTTGTGCATTCTCGCCAACAGCCTCGTCATCGGTCACCTGATTTTGTAATATATCCAATTTCGGTGTGCAGGTGCGTTTCCGATTGTAGAAAATTCGTTAAGATGCTCGTATAAAATACTTTATTGTTTTACAAAGTGTGAAAAAAAAATGATTCGCAAACAGCACAGAACACATACTCCGTGCGCAGTTAATGCATTAGTATAAAGGAATTATATAGTCTTGCTGAGAAAATATGAGTATAATTTCTAGGAAAATGCATCTAAAACAATGTTTTTATTAAGTCTAATACTACTCAGTTTCCTGTCTTTAAATTATAATAACTACCGTGCAGATTTAAACAGCTCGTTCAGACTTGAATCACGATTTATCATTTGCAAGAATGCAAAATCGAAAAAAAAACATTTACAATATTCGAAGTCCGTTGATTATTGAATAATGCATTGTTGTCAGAAACAAAGGGATAATGTACATCATTTAGATGCAAGCAATCGAGATGAATTTTTTCGTGAACCGTGTTTGATGTTATAGAAATTAATTAATGTAGCAGAACAAAACTGTTTTAAACCGATTGCAGATCAGATATATACAGAATATTTCACCTACAATTCCGAGATCGCATATCTCGAAACTCCTTAACAACGAAGAAAAAATATTATATAAAAATTCTAGTACAAAAATACAATATTCTAAAACACTTTCCTCGTGTAATTTTAAATTAATTATTGTCAAATCGCTCCTACTTCAAATTAATTACAATTATAATACAATAATTTAGTTGCAAGATCTTATTTGTTTTACTGCATCTTCTTCTAACTCTTGTCTTCAAAAAGTATTTCAAGCATTTTCTAAACAATTTATAAACATGATACAATTTAACATTAAAATGTACAATCTCGGAACTCTGGATGAAACAACGCGTGTAAGATTCAGGAAACATGCCAATTCGCAATTAATACGTTCATTTCGACATTTTTTGTCTACTTGTCGATGTGACAATATTAAGAAACGCTAGCTTGGCTAGGGTTAGATACTAACCCTTACCTGGCCATCCTGACTGCGAGGACGTCGTGGCGGACCACCACCTCTTCCTCCGCGGAAATTGCGGCGGAAGTAACGTCGTGATGGACCACCGCGTCCACGACCACCACCGCGCGGCGGAGCTCCACCTTCACCGCCGGTTCCTTCCGCTTGCTCACCACCTTCGCCAGCATCTCCTTGCTGCTGTGATGAATTGGGCCCGGAACGCCGTCCTCCACGATAATAACCATCATAATGACGACGCAGCCTATAACGACGCTGTTGCTGCTGTGGCTGGCCGCCTCCCTCGGCGTTTGCGTCATCGCCGATCTTTCCTTCTCCTAAATCATCAAACAATAGAATCACTCTCAATATCCAAAGAATAAACTTTCAAAGAATAAAACTTTCAAAGAATAAACAATTATATCAACTTGTTTAAATAAATAAATAATAGATAGCATACCTTGTTCATAACCCTCTTGGCCTTCACGTGATCTACGATTTTGCGGTCGACCATTACCACGTCTCGGATACACCCAGTGAATACCACGATATCCGCGACGCTTGTCCGCGGCGTAAGGTGAACCTTTTACTGCTTCACCTGCTGGACCAGTGACATTGGCTGCCTCATGACCCTTCTCACCGATAACGACATCGAATTCAACGACCTCGCCATCTCCTACACTACGTACAGCCTTTCTCGGGTTGTTCTTGACGATGGCCGACTATAATTACATATAACATTGATATATAGCAATTATTTTAAAATTATTAAGTATAACATATTAAATATGAGATACTTACTTGATGGACGAACACATCTTCCTTGGTATCGTTTCTGAAACAGATAGGACAAACAATGTTAAAAGCAGTCTCTGTGTGTGTGTGTGTGTGTGTGTGTGTGTGTGTGTGTGTGTGTTGTATATATATGTTTGTAAGTTAAGTTTAACATTTAATATTTATATTTTATGAAAGTTCGTATCTATAATTATTTTGGAATTAATTATTAATTCCAGTAATTTTGTGATGGCAATCGATTGCAATATTATATTTGAAACAATTCTGAATGTCAAACAAATTCATATTTTCTATAATTTATATTTTCGTAAAAACTATTTTGCAAATCTTTATTAAATAAGAAAGCATAATAATCGCATCCACCTGCCTATTGTGCAGGCAGAAATTCGGCATCAATACGAGATTCACGTAATTTACATTCTCTACAAAGTTGCGGCTTGTACACGATACATGCGTCGCACGTAACAATATGTATGCATACATCTGTCCTACGCATGAATTCGCGAATGTACAGACGTAATCGGAATCCATGAAGCTGCGGAGCAAAGCACGGAGTAGAGAGGTCGTTGCACCTCGCGGTGCACAGTCAGGAGAGAAATACAACTCGTACACAAACGCCAGCTGTCACAGCTAGACAGCGATTCCCCACACGTAGTTAACAAAAGGTGAATCAGGTATGAAAATCAAATTTCAAGAGCTTAAATCGCCGAATTACCGGCTTCGCTATTTATTTAATTAATTTTTAAGAGAAGCAAAATTAATATTTTCATGTACTGCTAAAATTATTTTCTTATTAATTTACTACTATTTTTTAAATTCTATTTATCAATTTTAATATCAGCTATACAAACAGAAATCTATTATAGCGAAATTTCACTGTTTGCCTCAGAACATGGATCGATGCTGAATAATTAATGGGCAGGATCCAATGGGTATCGAGGCGGAACGTTGCTCTTCCATTGTGGTATAATCGAATTCGCCGAATTTGGAACGAACACGACGAATGAACAATGGACTCGGTATTCTCAGTAAAGACTGTTAGATAATGTTCCAACAAAACGTATGACTTTAGAAACAGATTTCCCGACAAGATTTAATTCATTTATTAATACCGATTTACAGAGGAATTTGTCCTGGAAGTATTTTCGAATAATCTGAGAAAGTTTGAAACAAATTCTCGGTATTTTTTATTGTTAACAATCATTAAAAAATGGTATGTTATAAAAATGTACAAGTTTTTTTCTTGCATATTTAAAATTTCAGATTTTTAACATTGCTGGAACCATTGAGTGCATTCAGAACGAGAACCGCTCACTGAGCGCTCAATGAAGTCTTTCACCTGATTGATTCTATATTTTAGGATTTAACGGAATATGCTAATCAGGTGAAAAAGCTTACTGAGGGTTTAGAGAGTGATTATCGCTCTAAATGCACCCATCGCAAGTCTAAAATAATCAAAATGTTATTATTTTAATAAATTCATAATATTTTTACTGAAAAGTCACTCCTAAATAAATCAGAATGAGATGATAATATCAAACATGAAACGTTAAATTAAAATCCTCTTTAAAAAAAAAAATAAATAAATTTTCATTCTAGAAGAGATAAACGGCATATCTTTTATATTCACTGTCTTTCACACTTGTGTATATTTTTAGCACGAGATGTTACGATTCTTAAAAAGATAAGCTATCGATACGATAAAACAAGAAACATAATTATTTATTATTATTAATAATTATCTATTTTATTTTTACATTTCGATATTTGAAATTGCAGAATATCTGTACACGACACGCTACAATTTGCTTGTCGTTAGGATAATTCGTCATTAGGAGAACAAGAAAAAGGTTCTATATTTGTAAACAGCTGTTTCAACAACGTTTCTAATGTTTTGCGACACATTGGGCATCGTTAGCGTCAGTGAAAGTGCATTGTGAGACTATGCGAGATCTTTCGAGAGCAGGTAAACGTTCGAATCTAAAACTGATCGTGTGAAACTATCTCTACATACATAGACTATGAAGACGAGCGAGAAGTCACGCGTATACGAATTTCTTTTATGAAATGCGCGGTCTCGGCTTCGTGAATCGCTTGAAAGAATCTGCAGTCCGCGCGCGAAAGTTTCGCGCGTAAAACACTGCTACACGCGCATGAAAATTTCCTGGCGATCCGCCAAATAAATAGAGGGACCTCGAAATAGCAAGAAGTTCTACACGTTCCTATACGGACCGTCCACGCGCCGAATGAAGCGTCTATTTTCCGTGCGGCGTAATGCCAGGTCGAGGTTGTAGGTCGAACCTGCAGCGGAGACGGCGATTTTCCTAATATTAGAGACTATCACTTCCTCCATGTGTTGAAATCGTTATCAATTAATCTCTCGCGAGTATCTAAAATCGTACATTTTTCAAACATGAATCAGATCAATCCAGAAATTTAGGCACATTTTATTACGCCGGTCAACTCGTCATGATTAGTTTTTTTCCGATTCAAATGAAGGAAATTAAAATAAGAGCAAATTGTCAATGATAATAGAACATATGCTGTTGATTAAGAAAATAAGTATGTTTTGATAAATTAAAATAAATGTTAAATCTGTTTTATTCACTTTGCTTCAAGATTTTTCAAAAGATTGCATAAAATTACAAACTAATTTTTATTCGCTTCAAAATTTTTCTAAGAATGTGTGAAATTGTGAACATTTTACTTTCTCCATTTTTTTGAAAAATCTAAGATTTAAAAAGAAAAATAAAATTACGAACTAATTTTATTGTTCAAAGAATTTATGAAATAATAAACTAGTTATCGTTACTCGACAAATAGTTCTGCCAGAGTTAATGTGAGAAATTTTCATGTAAAACAGTCGCTTGCATCAGAGTCGGTTTTTCTTGAATAATTTAACGTGCAACGGAAGTCGCAAAATTTATTCGGTAGATGTAAACGCGCAATGTAAACGGAAAGTGAGCAAACATAATTTTAAACACAGTTCGCGAATAAGAGAGTAAAGTGGCGAAAAAGATAATTAGATATTTTGCGACATGTTCGCAGGAAATTTTTCATGGGAGATGCAACAGTTAATATACTCGACGTCGCTTTAATACTCGTGCGGTTGCTATTCCAAATGGACGTTTAAATTAATAGTGTATGAGTAACCCTTACGCCCACACAACATATACACACGCAAGTGGATAAGCGTGTACCTTCTCTTCTATCTAATAGTACATAAAAGGGCGAGCGTTGCGATGATGAAAAAAAAAAGTAAGAAAAGCACGAGGCAGTTGCAAAATAATAATTACTGACCTATTAATGAAACCGTAGCCACTCTTGACATTGAACCATTTCACAGTTCCGGTCACTTTGTTAGCTGAAATAAAAAAAAAGGTTTCATGATATATGCGACACATGTGCTGCACATGCAACTGTATAAATTCAGAACAAAATTCAGGGAATGAATTACATGAATCAACTCATGTAATTTTCGTTGAGTGTTCCAAAATATGGTGGTATGATTTATAAAAAAAAAATCAAAATAAATAATGTATAATCATATAAAAAGAAATCTCTAGAGAATATTCGAATCGCGTGCATGAATAATGAGTCAGGGAAAGGTTGCCTGTACTTTGTGTACTTATTGTTATTATTAAATTGTGAAAGCGACCTTGAGAGGGAAATAACGTGCTTAACCGCAGGTACATATCACGTGTTTACGAACACGTAAGCATGCTTGAGGACGAAATATAACGGATATCGTTTTTATATATGGTGAATAGTATTTCTGGGAATAATGCGTCAGAAATCAAGGAAAATCAAGTAAAGATACGATTGATAGAAAAGTAATTTGATTAGGCGGATGTATGAGTGATTAACGTTTATTTTACCAATGTAGATTAATCTCGGTTTAGTTTATTTTCTATCTTCTTCCAATTCTTAAAACTATCTTTTTCCAATTCTTAAAATTAGCAGAAGATAAAGAATAAATTAATAAAATAGAAAATTGTAAGAATAAATTAGAAGAAGATAAGCAACAGTAAGTCAAATCGAGGTTAAAGTTAATCTATAACAGACGTACTTTAAATTTCTCACAAACTAATATCTCAATCTTTAAATAAATATATCTTTGAAGTTTAAGAAAATATAAAATCGTTCGGAGTCTTGGAATTTTTTAATTCATATAAAAATATATATTCTGAGGATAGCATATATTATTATATGTACATCGCGATCTTGCGTTTCAACGAAAATATGATAAGACTATCTTCACAACAGTTACACGCGACCTTGTCACACAGTATAACCCAAACAAAGGTCGAAATTAATGTCATCAACGATAGATCAGCCTGGCGAAATTCCTCGCATTCTGAAAATCTGAGTAATATTCTCCGAATAACGATCAGTCAGGTGAAGTGTTCGCGGAATTTATTTTAAAGACAATATCTTATCTCAACAATCTTAAGATATGAATACAATTTAAAACGTAATTATATATGATGACTTAATTAGATATTACGAGAGCATGAATACAGTCTAAGTATAAATTTTAATGAGATATAAATTGACATATTAAAAGTATAATTCTATATAGTTAGTTTCTAGACGTTTCCAAGGTAAATTTTACTCATAAAATTTTCAGAATGATTAACAAACTTTTTCAATAAATTTTTGAACATTCTCGACTAAATTTTATTCTTAACAATTTCAGAACAATAAAAAGTGTGATTGTGTTTTATTAAATCTTTTAATAAATTTTAACGAGACATGTAGATTAATGATAACAATTTTTAAACATTCTGGATTTATCTTTCAAATCTAATATTTAATAATTCCTCGCTTCAGGAATCAAAACAGACGCGCGATTAAATACATTCTATTAAATCTTTCATTATGAATTCTGATAGAACGTTTATACATATGTAGATATAATGATGTCTTTTCATGTTTGTCAATGTTAGACATTGTCAATGTTAGACAAATAAATTCAAATTCTAATCAAATTCAAATTCTTTAACGATCATTTTCTCGCTCTGATAACAAAAAGATGCGATTGAAAATATTTTCCTAAGTTCCGTTATAAATTTTGATAAATTTTGTGTACATGTAGATTAATTATACAATTTTAGAGATTTGTAGAAATTGAAAATTTCTGGAAATAAAACTAATTAAATTTGATCTTTGACAATCTCTTGTTCTAAGATCTCTTGTTCTAAGAAAAATGAAAATATTTAAATGATATATTCTACTGAATATCGGAATTCCGGAGTAAGTGTGAGATTTTTCCAGAATTTTCTATACATTGTTCAAATTCTGGTAGATTTCGAAATAGCGCGAGCGTCTTCACGTGGTGAAAAAAATGCGCGATCGATCGATCGATCGATCTAGTAGTCCGGAGGTGCGAATGCGTTTCGCTGCGACGAAGCACGCTCGCAAGAGCACGCGGCGACGCGCTTACGTAATGAAAACGTGGAGCGTGCGCGGGCGAAGATATTTCGGATCGTCACGAGAGATCGCTTCGGAAGGAAAAAGATCGACATCGCGATGAATCTTAGAGATATAGAACATTCTAGAAAATCTCTTTTTTTTTCTCACGTCGATTTTCGCTCGTGGCATCCGCTCGATTTTCAGGTTATGCGATGCGACGCGATGCGACACGACGCGTCGCGTGAGCAAGCGACGGCGCCATCAATGAAAATCGATGATCAGACGAGAGAACGGAGTTTCCGTCGAGAAGCCGCGATCGCGGAGGAATTCCGTCCGCGACAAGAGAAAGCATCAGCTGATGGAAAATGGAGGCGCGAATCGTGTCGCCTCGTGGACGAAGCGTGACGCGCCCGATGGCTCGTCCATCGAGGTTCTCGCGATGGATTTCTTCCGTGCGGATTTTCACGGACGCCGGGCCACATGGCTTCGGCGGCCGCCGCGCAACGCCGCCGTGGACGCCATTACGGGCGGAGGAACGCGCGGCGACGGAAGAGACGGCGCGGTTTGGCGAGAGAGAGCCTCTTTCCGCCGCGGCGTAGATCGGATGGCGATCCGCGAGAAGGCCGCGCGTGCTCCGGAAATAATAACGCGAACGCGGATTTTATCACTCACCGATGACCATCTTCTGCTGGACAGCCTTGGGTTGTTCGGGCTGTTTCTCCGTCTCACCCATGATGGTAAGGTGGTGTAGAGACAAGCAATCCAGACCAGGATGGTACCGTCTGTCCCACTATGATGTTCACTCCTTTCTGCTGATGTTAGTAATGGACATGGACGTGCATCTAGGCGACCGGAAAAACACCATGCCTCGGATCGTGTAACGCGCTCGCTGATTCGCTGGCCCCCATCAGCCGGCCGCCGAGTCGCCAATCATACGCGCCGAGTCCTCACGGAGACGCACGATCGGTGGCCGAGCGGCACCGAACACTACGGCGCATGCGCGCACTACCGGGAGAGACACAGCTTTCCTATTGTACCTTTGAGAGAAATTTTGAATCCAACGAACCTCAAATGTCTATTGGAAGATTTTCTTTCAAGCTATACTTTATGTTAGGATAAACGAAACTAAATCTAATGAGCTTTCTATATCTTTCGTACAATAATATAAAGATCACAATGATCATTCATTGTATAGACATATTTTAATAATTCTTACTAAGAAATATAAATTTCTTCGAAAGGGAAGAATAAATGAATAGTAAAGGAAATTTTCAAAAAATATTTCATTATCTACAATTTTCTAGAAATAAAAATAACAAAGATCAAATGAATAAAAGAAAAAGAAAAATTTTTCAAAGAAATTTTCAAGTCACCTTTCTGCAATTTTCTAGAAATGGAAATAAAAGGAATCAGAGACAAAAGAAACAGAAAGAAGAAAGTTAGAGAGGAGCGGAGATATATTGAAAAAAAGGAAATATCAAATATTCAAATCGCAAATATGTGTATAACAAAAAATAAGAACGTCAACATGTCAATATTCGAAAAGGTGAAAAAAATGGAATTCAAAACAAACGTATGCGGATCTTTGATATTTTCTGGCATAGAAATCAAAAGAAAATTTTAATAATAATTTTAATAATTTAAAGAAAACTCTAAACGTTCGTTTATTATATAATGTACAATGCGCAATATGAGAGAATATAACTCTCATCTTATTCTTTATAAGATGTAATTATCAGTAATATATTACAGTATTTGTGTATGTTCGTGCTCGAACATTCCAAACTTATTAATACGTTTAGACAATATTAATTTAATACATTTACATCCTTCCTCTCTTTCTATATACAATTTTTAAAAGACCAGCATCGTTTAATCACATGAGATTTCAAATTTAGAGTATAGTTCTGGATATAGTAAACGAAGAAGAGTACAAATTGTATTCAATCTTGTAACAATTCTACGTGTGTGAACGACGCACTTGTTGCCTAATGTTGACTAATGCACATGACTAATACTAGTACATCTATATAGCAGAAAAAAAAGCGATGACGATACAGTTAGTTGATCGGATAAGAAGCCCATGATATGCCACTCAAATAGAAAACGTGCGAATAACGTATCTTTAGTCGCAAATAATTTTGCGCGAATTTTCTATAAAATTTTTTCCATCATATAAGATACATACCGCAGTACATATACACTTCTATATTATCATAGCTTATCATAGCTTATCGTTCGTCGCACGGACACTTTTTAGAAATTCCACTCGCACAAGAATAACTCAATGAGGATATAAAGCCCAATGTCTACAATGCTAGAAATCAATCCAAAATCTCGAACAGAGGAAAAATTAAAAAATCACATTTGAATAATTTAGTCACGTGACCAATGCGATTAATCAATTCTTTCTTCATCTGAGATCTTGGACCGATTTCTAGTATTATGGACATTGGCCTTAAGAAGGGATCCATGTCGGTTATGACAAATACATTTTTATTATTTGGATCACAATTTGGATTTCGTGGAAACAATGTAATTATATAACTCGCCCCAATGCGAATTTTTTTCAGAGAATAAAAAATATGTTTAGGAACGAGATGGAAATGATGCAGGTTTGCAACGAGAATCGATTGCATATATTGAAATAGAAATATGCAGTTTCCGCTTTTATTATCAATGAGATAATATAATCCTAAAGAAAGATGCGCATGTGATACTCCCCAAACAACACAAAATTGTGACATAAGACGTCTTTAAGTTGTCTTTTAGAAAAAAATGTCTTATGATTCGATTTTAGACACTTTTTGTTGTCTGGGTCTCGATTTAATCATATTGTTTAAAATTTATAATTTGACGCTATTTAATAATACGTTATAATAATACGTTATTATAATATTAGTTACAAATATACAGGTATCAGCTTGCACTTTGTTGGATTTCTGAATCACATATTACAATTTATTGCGCAATAACAAGATTCTGCAGATGACAGTCAGTACGCTTGAAAAATTACGTTAAGTTTTAAAGTGCTTCTTTTCCGAGATTTATGCCGCTTCTTCCTAACAAGTACAATGAAGTTATAAGATATGAATAGACGATACACTGTTATGTATACAAGATTCACCTAACTCGACCTGTTTGTAATATGTTTATTATTTTTCAACAAATATCGAAAAATATGTAATAAAGAGCTCGAAAAGACAAGTATCTTGGGAAGGATATAATTCTTTTAGTCACTGTTTTCATTTTCAAGATCAATGACCTTCCTCTTTCAACGAATTATTTAAAGCTGATAATTTTAAAATATAGATTAATTTTTTATAGAAATATTTATATAAAAATCATATTGTTACATAAAAATTTCTTATATAATTTTATATGAAAAATATAATTATAAATATATTCTTATGAAATTTTTCTAATCATTCCGCATATGCATTACAAAATGCATACTATATTAAAAGAATTATTTAAAGGTACGGACTTAAAAAGTGATTACCTTGTATATTACTTCGTATCTTATATATTTAAACATTTAACATTTTATATGAGAACCAAAACAGGAAACATTCCATTAATTTATAAATCTTTTTTTACAATTTACAATTTTTTCTAATTTTTATACGAAGAATAAAAAAATTTTAGTTTGCACATATGACAATCATATTTGTCTCTTTGGATCAAAATTTCTTTCACTTTTTTACTTATTTTTCCACACTACCAAAAATAACTAACATATTACAGGCGATCAGATTAGCTAAAACACATCCTATATATAGTATTATAGGATACATACTATATACAAAGTAGATATACTTAGCAACCATCACCAAACATATTTTAAAAACGCGATCACACATCCCCTAATACTCCACAATATGTGCAATCTGTCTGTCATGTGATTTATTTATCAAATTATATTAAATATCGAAATACGATATACGCATGTCGAATGTACGTTTTTTTACACACACAACATATACATATATAAAAGAATGTAATTGAAAAAACACTGGGAATATATATTTCAATGAAAATATACTCGAACAGGCGGCAATTACATTCTCCATCATCTCGGTTTTCGCGTGCGAATTGTTCTGGATCGCGGCGCGGTAGATCCGCTTCCGATGCTGAACATGCCGGGAGTCGAAGGATTAAAGGTCGGCGCAGCCGTGGTTCCGAAATTGAGAGTAGGAACTGCCGACGATGCAGTGAAGTTGAATCCCGCTGTTGCTGAAAACAGAAGAATGCAATTAATATAATCCAGTCAACGTTTAAAAGTAAAAGAGTGCACGAATAGTATTTCATAAACATCCATAATTCTTATTTCATATCTGAAGTTTAGTATTTGCGGCACAACTTAAATGTTTAACAACAACAATTGTCAATATTAAAGAAATTTATTTCTGATTACCTGGTTTGGTAGATGGAGATCCAAATTGGAACGGAGCAGCTGGTGTAGCTGTAGAATTATTGCTGCTAGCATTGAAGTTGGATCCGAAGGAAAACGTTGTGTTCTGTTGCCCGTCTTTCTGAGTGTTTCCGAAGACAAACATACTATTTGTACTACTGTTTGCATTATTAGCGTTATTAGTCCCGAAGGCCGGCACAGGCGGATTAGATGTGCCAAAACTCGTACTGGTCACGGGTATCGTTCCAAATAGAGATTTGTTATCACCAAACGTAGTTCCACCGCTTGCGGCACCAAATGCGAGAGTAGGTGGATTCTGCGTGCCGAAGGTACTCGTTGCCGAGGAGATACTGAAGGCTTCGGTAGCCGGAGTAGTGTTTGCTCCGAATAGAGGAACTGATGGTGTGTTATTATCGGTTGAACCAAATATTCCGGTTGTACCGAAGGTTGGTGTCGCCTGTACATTCGTCGCCGTGCCTACGCTAGATGCTCCGAACACGGACGTGGTGTTATTCGTAGTGTCGAAGGTAGGCGTGATCGCACTAGTGGAGACGTTGCCAGTGATGCCAAACGTCTGCGCGGGCGCGGTCGTGCCGGTTTGCGAGGTCGAGCCAAACATCGGTGTCGTCGTGCTACCGAACATGCCACTCGCCGTTCTGAAAGACGTCGATGGCTTTGTCTGGCCGAAAATCGAGGTGCCGCTACCAAATACTGAAGGCGTCGCGGTGATCGGAGTCGAATTAACGTTAACACTGGAGAACAAACTGGACCTAGGCGTGTTGCCAGACGATGATACAACGTTAGTCGTTGGAACGAAGATCGAAGGAGCCGTGGTTGTCGGGGTATTAAATATACTAGCAGTTTCTGATGTTGTTGTGGATCCTGACGCAGTTCCGAAAAGTGTCTGACTGTTGGTCGGTCCAAACATATTCGTATTTGTCGTTGTAATTGGTGTAGTGGCAAAAATAGATGTAGATGTACCGAATTGCGGAATAGTGGTTGTAGATGTGCCAAATTGCGGAACTGTAGTGGTTGTAGGTGCGCCAAATTGTGAAACGGCAATAGGGGTGGACACTCCAAATGCAGGAATCGCGTTATTGCTTATCATACTCAAATTAATTGTACTGTTAACAGTTGTAGCTGGTAGAGCTATAGCTGTAGACGTCGTGCTTGAAGTATTGGAAGCGCCAAAAAGGAATAGAGGTTTGTTAGTAGATAATGTAGGCATTGAAGAAGTAACGGATGTGCCCAGGGAAAACGTAGACGGGTTCGATAGTCCGAATATCGATGCCGTGGTAGTTGTGGTATTTGTAGAAAATGAGCTATTTGCGATAGTTGTTACCGAAGTGTTGGGTGCGAAATTAAAAGATGTAGTAGATGCAGTAACTTGCGACAATGACGTTGCTTGGCTGTTTGCAACTTGCGTTGGATTTCCAAAAACTTTCATTTTTGGTTGAACGTTATTATT